TGTTTGTGTTCGGAGATTCAACGTTGACGCAGGAAACAACAACATTGAAAGTGGTATTACGGAAAACTTTTACCCCTATGGTGTCAACTACAACAATCAATACACCGGCCGCTTTACAAATGGATTAACTGCCGCTGATTTCATGGGTACCTTACTTACTTACTACTACAACAATCAATCCATCGGCCGCTCTGCCACTGATTTCATGGGTACCTTACTTACTTACCTAACATTATTTTCAAGTTTCCTTGATTTTTGTTTTTGTTGTGAAGGTTATTGTGTATTGGTGTTTTAGGTGTTATTTTTCATGAGTGTTTGTTTCTGTTGCAACCTTGCCAAATATTGGTGTCTTTCTGTTGAAGTTTTTTTTATTTTTTTTTTGTTTTTTTTGGGTGGTTCTTTCTCTCCCTTTTCATTATCTGGCTATACTCTTTTCAAATTGGACCTGTTGCCAGTAAAGATTTCATTTTCCATATAAAAAAAAAAATTGAAAAAAAAGAGGAAAAGATTACACTGACCAATTCGATTGTAAAATCTGTAAGAATATATGGAAACCATTATCTATAGTTGTAATGTTTTGTTATATGCATATTTCTCAATTTTCAAAAATCGTAAAATTAAAAGTTTTAAATTAATATTTTGGAGATATCTTAAATTTTCCTTTTAAATTTTTTTAGAGAGAATAGATTTAGGAAAATCAAGAAAGAAATTTTATATTTTATATTTTAAAAATTAAAACTAATGAGATAATTAATATATATATTTTTTATAATTATTGGTTTAATGGGTTAGTTCGTAGCTTTTTAAAAAAATTAATTTTTAATTCAAAAATTTAGATATTTTGTTAAAAATATTGGAGTACCCAAATGATCACTTTTAGTTAATATATAGAATAGATATTCACTTTTTGTTTTACCAATAATAATTTCATTTTTTCTATAAAAAAAATAAAAAGATTACCCAATCAGTTGTAAAATCTGTTGGAATATGTCAATAGTTGTAAATGAAATATATAGGGTTAAAATCAACATAAAAAATAGTAGGAAATATTTTAAAAAACTAAGATTACATATCGAATTAAATTTATTATGGAAGGCAAAACTAGTCAACACCTTCCAAGGCACTTTATATGGCATAAAATCAATCAGTGGAACCATTTACTATTTTATTTTATTTTTTTTAATTTTATTTTAAAGTAGTAAAAATCAATATTTACTATATGGAAAAATTAGTGAAACATTACTCTCTAATTTCTGGTAGTAAGAGGGATCCAATATGATTTTTCTTATTAGTTAAGATTTCTCAATAATATTATTAGAGAAATTTCAGTTTGTCACAGAGAAATTTTACAAATTTGTGATTTATAAGATCGCATATATAAGTATATGAAAATTTACGTAATTTTTTGTATGGTTGCATATGGTGTTATGGTGTATATTACAATTTGTGCTTATAGTATTATATTAATTATGGTTTGAGATTGACATTTTCAATAATTTTTTAATTTTCTTTAGAAGCTGAAAAATTATTGCTATATTTGAAAAGTTGCCAAAAAAAAATTATTGCTATATTTGGCAATCGAAGCTTTTTTCCTCTTTTAGCATCACCCCAAACACCCACTCAATCCCTATATATATTGCTTGGAGCCAAGTGTCTCTCCAAAACCCTCTCTGCTCTCTCTCTCTCTCTCTCTCTCCCACTTCTGCCCAAACACCTGTGTTCAACTCCCTCTCTACACGTTCTCTCTCAGTGGATTTGAGGTTTTGATTTTCGCCCTAGTGACAGGGATTTTCTTCGCAAGGTTCGACTTCCTTTCTCTTTCGTAGATCAGTTTAGTGTGTGCCAACACCAATAAATAGAATCTATTTATTACTTCTTTTAATTAATTTCTTGATTTCATTCCAGTAGACCAATTTTTATTTTTACGAAATTCAACTGCACCGCCGCTGCTCATCATCATCATCAGTCTACTGCCACCATTGAAGAGGAAGATCCAATGTGTTCATACACTCAATGTGTGTCGGTACCCAATTTATTGCTCACTGTAATAGTTTTGTTGAGTAAAATTTGTGACAATTCTTAACCAATCTGATTGCATAGGTAATTTCCTGACTGCTGAATTATCCAGAAAAAATTTCCTGACTTCCAATCTTTGTGCTCACTACTCTATTGCAATTATCAAGATCCAAACATAGCATAAGAAAAGTCTAATTGCCCGGTACCTTTGCAATTATCATCATTGAATGTTTTGAGGAATATGGTTGTGGTTTACAGCATCTTCTGTGTTCTCTCCTCTGTTATTGTGTGCTCTCATCTTTTGTTATTGTGGATTACAGCATCTTTTGCAGTTGGTTACGGTTATAAAATTTGTTTATTATATGAGCAGAATTTGTTTGCTGCAATGGTTGATTATTTAATTGGTCTGCCTTCCATTGATGAGTTTGTCAATAATTTGCTGCTTGTCTATTGTTCAACTTGGCTTCATTTTACATGTTGTGAAAATTAAGAATCTGTTTTGATGGCTACTGTGGTTGCTCTAGACAGAAAGAGTACTATTCTGCTGCGTAGAATTGAACACATAACTCTCAAAAAAAATGTGCCCCACACAATACGAGATTTACCTATGTCTAATTCCATTAATGGTTTCTTTGCAAACACACACACACATATATATATATATATTGAGAGAAGCTTCCCTCAAGACTCCATCATCGTCCACTTTGTGAGTCCCATTGGGCTTATGACAATAATCTAAATCGTTCATCTCGTCGGTCTCGAAAATATATATATATATATACAAAAAAATTAGTTTGATTGAACATTGATAGACACTAATTAATCATATTTTATTTTATAAAATGAGTGGTAAATATAATTTTAAACTATAATGTCCATTTTATAAAATAAACTATCATAAGTTTGTATGCCTAATTTAGTCACTAGTCACCAGTCCAGCTGCCACCTTGACCCCCTGTAATGCTGCGTTTGGTTGGGGGATTTGGGAAGGGATTTGGAAATGGAAAGAGAAAGAGAAAATGTGTGTAAAACTAGGTGAAATTTAGGCTTATTTTATTCACATTTCACCTACCTTTTCCATTTCCTTTTCCAAATCTCTCCTCAAATCTCCCAGCCAAACACAGCATAAGGGCTCGAACCAGATTAACTCTACCAGATTTTTCATTCCTTACAACACAGAAAAACTAAGCCTAAAAATTATTTATAAAACGGTTTAATCGTGCTGGACAAACTAAGGTGTTATTATTATATTTTATTATTATTTTTTAGCTAAGTTTTTATGTGTTGTAGGAAATGGCAAATCTGGTAGAGTTATTTTGGTTCGAGCCCCCAGGAGCCCACCTTGTCTCGAATCTACTAAAGTGGTGGAAAGATTCAGAGAGTATCGTCAGACAAGCCCACCCAGGACTTGACCGGCTTATGGAGAGACCTGTATACTTACAAGCTGACCCCGATGAGGATTTTTGGTACAAACATTCACAAAACACAATTTTGAAGTGTTGACTCTTTAATACTTTCCCAAAAGGAGGCAAACAAAAGCCTCAGCTTAAATGACATCTCCGAAAAACTATGTCGAGGGTCTTCTAAGGCAAACTTTGAAGTTGCTCTTCATGTTGTTCACCTATATATATATAAAGTGAGCTAAAGCCCAATGAATAGCAATATAATAAAGTGGTTAATGAATAAACATTGATAAGTTTTATTTAAAACTAAGCATAATCTCATTCTGAAAATAATCAGCTATATTTAGAATCAAGCACAATCACTTTTTGAGCATAATATAATTCGGACATTGTAACAAAACTTGACTTGCATGCATATACATAACAATGACATTCTCGAAGCATTTTGGAACAGAACAGGATCCACTTCAAGTGGAAACATGTAACACATAAGGAGCTCAATTAACAGGGAATGATTGGCATGATTCCCAATTATCAACAGGAATAGGATTCAAGAAGTCATCTTAGTACATGATACCAAAAATATAGGATGCTCATTCATAATAAAACAATATTATAATTCTAAACATATCATATGTTTGCATTTCAAATCATAACTTTAAAAACATAATTTTACTACACTACTACTCACAGTGGACTTAGTCATGATAATGCTTCCTGATGGGCCAACCTACATGTAGGGGTGTAAAAATGAACCACAGCCCGAGATGGGCCCGGTTCGTTTAGACCCGCTTGGGCCTAGGCCCGAGCCCCTGGGCTAGGGCCTGAGCCTGGGCCATTGTTTTGAAGCTCAGCCCGACTCGGCGGCCCACTTAGGACTTGGCCCGAAGCCCAGGCCGCCCGGCCCGCCCAAGGCTCAATGTATTTTTTAATGGAAAATAACAAAATTTTAGTAGAAAAAAACAAAAATGTTTTAGACCCCCATTGGGGCTGACCCCCAGGACCCTTAATGAGTCTGATTGGCCAGGCATTTTTTTTTTTTTTTCCCTCTTCCAATAACCAACCCCCACGTGTGTGTGGGGGGTGAGGGGAAAGTGGGGGTCTCAATCACGTTTGAGAAAAAAAATTAAAAAACAAAAAAAAATGGTTAGGCCCACTCAGGCCCGGCCCACTAGCCCGCCCAAGGTTTGAATACCCCTGGGCTTGGGCCTGAGCTTAATTTTTTGGCCCATGGCCTGCCCTGCCCCGCCCTGAATTTTGGCAGGAGCCGATGAGGCTCGACATGGCCGGGCCGAGCCAGATTTACACCCCTACCTACATGATGTATATACACATAAACATCAATAACAAATTACAATTAATTGAACCTACTTTTCCTTTCTAATTAATTTAATTAAATTCCTACTTTGTTTTCCTAATCAAGCAACTTATGTTGGTTTCTAGATTTTCTTTATATTCTCTCAACTATACATTTTTTAAAGCCATTTTTATCTTAGTCATTTTAAACCAATTCATTTTCTAACTTAAATTCCTATCATTTCTTTCATTCCAAAATTTCAAATCTGGATTATATAAATTCCAATACATGATATAATAATATAATAACTCCTAGGAGGAAGATGTTTACATATATGGATTAAGATTAAATTAAACTAATTCTTGATTACCAAAACAACAATTACAGTTTTAATTTCTCATATATCCTAATTTGATTTTTCTTCCATCCTATCAAATCAATCCTTAATTTCATATCTATGGTTTTTGATCCATGTATAGATGACTTATAATCCATAAAAAAACATTTGTGTACGAAGAACACAAGATTATTTTCAAACCCAAAATGATAATTTCCCAAGTTAATTCTTGATTCCATAACCTATTCCAAATATCCCATCCCTTCATTATTCCTTTCTAATTATATGAAATTAATCTCAAACTCTTTTCTCTTTTTCTTCAAAATCTAAAATTGAGATTATAAAATTCCTAGAAAAGATATTTACATGTGTGTAATTAAAATTACAACTAGCTAATTTTATATATTCCAAAATCAAATCATAATTAAATTCCTAGTTTAATTCTTAATTGCCCTAACTTAGATTTATATTAATTTTTCTTCATATTAAACCTAAAGCTTCATTTATAATCATAGGCGTTCCAAATATGTTTTAATTGAATAAAATAAAACTCTTAAATCATATTTACATGCATGAATTACGAACCAAAATCAAACCAATTCTTAATTTAATCCTCAATTTCACATTTATATGTTTAATCCATATATAGAAGATCATAAAATTTAGGAAAACATTTGTCTACAAAGAATTTGGGGATTAATTGATTTAAAACATACTTTTCATGAAATTTTCTTGAAACCATCCCAACTCAAAATTTCTTCAAATCTTTATTTCTAATCCTGTCAGAATCCATCTTGAACCAATTTATGTCTAAATTATTTAAACAATACTAGAAAGGGAATGAAATTTCTTACCTTCGGATGATTTTTCCCTAATTTTTGGCTTGACTCATGACATCCTACTAAGCCCTCTTCTTTCTTCTCTTCGTGCTCTCCTTCTTGAACTGAATCTCTGTGTCTCTCTCTCTCGGCTCTCCGTTTCTCTCCGTCGGTTCTCTCTTTCTTTTCTTAGCTGTATGCTCCAGCAGATGGTCTCATTTTTCAATTTCTAGAAATCTCTCCAAGCCTCTCCATCATTCTTATTTGATTGGTTGAATAGGATTAGGTTAATTCATTAATTATCCATTTACTTACTTAATCAATTATTAATCTTAATCAATTTGGTTTAGGTGTTATTTGACAATATAACTTAAAAGTCAAAAAACTACTAAAAAAATTAAAAAGTAAACAATCTATATTAAAATTTTAAAAATTCTTTTTTTCTCTACTTTTTATATATCTTTTCATAAAAAAATCAAAAAGTTATTCCAAACATATTAATTTTTTTATCTTATATTTTACTCAAAAAAATCAAAAAATTCTAAAATAGTCTATTCCCAAATAAGACCATAGTCTCTAATTAAATTAATTTAATTAATCTCACTTAAAGTTTAATCTAATGATTTTTAATTTTATTAATTTGTATCAAATTTTTAATAAAACTTTCAAAAGACTCTACATATTAAACCGATTCAATTAAATTCCTTACTTATGATTTTTTAAATCATTTCAACTTTCAATTTCTGATTAAAAAAAAATAATCAAGGATATCAGATATAAATAATGTTTAAGATGCCACTATATGATTGTTTAATAATAATAAAAAATAAAAAAGGAGACTTCAGCCTGAAATGTAGAACCTTTTGATGGCATAATATGCTAAGAAGAGTCCAAATCCTCTGTCGTACTTCTTTGTAATGCTCCCTACAATGCCCCAAAACGACGTCGTTTTGGGGCCAACCACACCCTCCCCCCCAAAAACCATGCCCATTAAACTGGGTGTCAAAAGCTTGAATTCCAACTCTCATGCCCATGCCCATTACCATTAAATTGGGTGTCAAAAGAGATCCATACTTGGTGGATATTTCATTGATTTAGCATTTTGTAGAACACTTGGAGGAGG